GTAAGTAGGGAACCGCGGCGCAAACGAGAACATCTTCGCTGAATTTCGAAGACAACACGGGGGTGAAAAGTTCTGACGTATTCAAAAAGTATAGGTCGAGGCACCTCTCAAGGGGATGGGCGGGTATTTGGCCGAGTTCATTTGGCTTGATGCTTCTCAAGAAGTTCTCACTTAGATCTGGATATTGCGCGAGAATATCTACCGCCGTCAAAGTCACAAACATATGTTGAGACGAAGTGTTTTGTCCAATACGAGACGTAATAAAATACAAATTGCGGAGTATGTGAAGCGCTTGCATCGATATGAAAGGTGCACCTGAAGTATGGTTAGCTAAAGGAAACATCGGTATATAACTTGTATGACACTAACTTCTGTTCGCAGCTAAAATATGATCGTTTATGACTTTCCCAAGAATAGCTCGAAGGACAATCACGATCGAATACAAGCTATTGCGGAGTAGTTTCCATAAGCCTGGGATAGTTGTCTTCAATGATTCCGCATCCAAGAAGTCGGCTTCCTCGGCCTTGTCAACTTCAGATAACTTGTTCTGGCGCCATTGGGTCATTAGTGTGCGGGCAAAGTCCGCAATGTGATCAACTGATTGCGCAATGAGTCTCGGGTCATGCGCATTTTCAATTGCGTGTGCAATCAGTCGGGATAGTGGCCCTAGTGCCGAGATGAGGGGGCTGGAGGAAATTGCTGCCACGCGGACGAAAGTATCAGATTGTGCGGACCATTGGAAGCGCTTTCCTGGTGCCTCAACAATATCTTTATCAATTGTCCCTAGAAAGGACCCTCCCTCGAGACCCTCCAGTGATGAAAATGTCGCATCTATGATTACCGGCAATAGTCGGTCGTAGTTAAGGTTGCTCCTCTCCAAGTCGGACAACAATGGAAACGTATAATTCAAGACCATGGTTATGCAAAGACCATCGATCTTGTTGTGGGGATCTAGCTCTTCAATAGCAAGCTGCGCAGCAGTTACAAGAGCTGACTCAAGCTTTTTACGGACACTGAGGGGCAAGCCTTGCCTATCCTGTGCTTCAAAGCCTAGAAGGACTCCTCCAATTAGAAGCATATGCCTCCAACGCGGAGATTTCTCGTCCGCCCCACTGACAACAGCTTTGACCCATGCTTCTCGTTCTATCTTCACAGGCTTAGTGTACGGTATCCTTGGGTCATCGGATTCTTCGTTTCGGATGATGGCCATGGCGGCAGTGTTGAATACACTGAGTATCTTCCGGCAGGCGTGGAGGTCGACTGCATGATCCCATATAGAAGGGGCTACAAGCAGTTGTGATGCAAGCAAAGTAATGTTCAAAGGATTTGCGAGTACAGACAAGAGGCCGGTAGCCGTGGGGAGCAGACTGAAGAAGAGTTGTCAGTAAGGTCCTTGATCGGAGTGATAAAGTGGGTGTTATCATACGCAAACGCATCTTGAAGTTCTGATGGAGATTGGAGCGACCGTAAGAGACGACCCAAAGAGCGCGCTGATGCCATCTTAGATCACAGAAATGCTAGGCTTGATGATAGGAACACGCAAAGCACAAGATACAATGACACCTGCCAAAGGGCCGTCGTATTCGGCAATTGGAGTAGGACGACAGGTCTCCAGCACTATCAGTTACCCGCGGAGGACCCCGGATCACCTGCCGAGGTTGGGAGCATAGAGGCAAACAATGCAAACCGGACATAGCTCCGAGCTAGAACCTTAGATGACTCCCGTGATCACAACGGCTACATTTTACGCTCTGTAATACCACTAAGCTTAGCCCGTCCCCACTACGCTAGGTACCATGGTAGTTGACTTTCTCTCGTGCAGCTGCCCCTGTTGACAAGGCGACAAGCCTTTGTCAGGACAAATGACCGACAACCGTGTCCCGATCAACTACCAGACACCGGCGTTCCCATCGCTCTATGATCCCTTTCCGCGACCAAATGCTGCCGTCTACTACCTATACTATACCCGGGACATTTGGCGGTTCACGCTCTATTGGACCCTGATATTCTACCTGGCAAGCCATTTGTCAGTGGCCGCTTGGGCCCTGGCGATGCAAGGCCGAAGTTGGCGGATTTGTATTGCTATACCACTAGTGTACGGTATTATAGCAGGATTAGAGGCGCTTCTAGCTGGGAGTATTATTGGTTTAGTGTAAGTATACATGGAGTTCCAAAAGCTATATCCGAACTATGAAGCTAATACGGGAAGCAGTCTGGGTTCCGTTTACGAAGCCGGTAATTTTAGGATGTCGACGTGGATTCCCATGATATGGGGTGGCATCAACATGCTGGTCCTAATCTTATCGAGCTTTCCTATGCAAGGTGGACTGTAATCCGTACGGAGCAAGGGGATACGCCTTCACACAATGCGCCCTTCATGGGCTTGAGACTTGAATCATACCTCAAATACTGGCATTTATACACGAAGAGCGTGGTGCACTGTGCATGCGATTTTTACTCTCTATCGAGCGAGTCAAAAAGTCCTTTCAAACACCGATTTATAATACAGCCGGAGGAATTATGTGATACTCTTCAAACATATGCCGATGCTATCAGAAACCCGAACAAGCTATCTGCCATTGCGCCAATCGTCCCTAGGCCAACTCAAAACATGCACATCATCTTCCATAAGGATTGTCGGGCGTATTGCTACCCTGCAAACCAGGAAGGCCTCCGGTACCCGGTAAGGGAGAAAATTGTTGGGGAGCGAAATTTTGTGGTAGTGGAATGCCCTGTGACATGAGCTGCTTTTGAAGCTCTGCAAGGTCAACATTGGCAGGTGGTGTTCCTGAGAGGGCAGGAAGCATGGGAAATCCAGGCAATCCCGTGTTTGGAGAAATATTATTGGGTTGAGGAGGGGCTTGGGTAGACAAAAGAGCGGCTAGGCGGTTGGGATCCATCTGAGGCATCGATGAAGGTATACCTGCTGGTGGTGCTGGGGGTGGTTGGGGAGCACCAATACCTGGTAGTAGTTGCGAGCCTAGCCCGTCGTTGTGAGGCGTCCCGCCAGGAGGTGCGATCTGTATTCCAGGAAGAACAGACCCGGTCGGCTTCCTCTGATCAACGAGGCTCTCGGCTTCATCCTGTAATTCTTGTTCTTCCTCCTCGCGCATTTGTCGTCTTCCGAAACCCCTACTCCAAGTTCCCTGGGCCTCAGCAGCCTCTTCCCCTATGTGGAACCTATCTTTCATGTAGCTAGTCTCTCCCGGTCTTGCTCGAGACCAAAACCGTGTGAAGTTGTCTTTCGAGCCGGATGCAAGTATATGGCCTAGTGGATGCCAATCCAGTGACCAAATTGTAGCGCTATGTGCATACTGGACCCGGTGGGCAGGGTAGATGACTTGCGCAGGTGTGTTCGCAGGATCCGGACTGTCGTAAGGTGCTATTGTAGGAATCTGTCCAGAGGGCACGTTTGGCTCGTCAAGGAGGTAATGGTACAGCGAACCGTCTTCGCTACCCGTCGAGATAAGTGAGCTGTGGATGGGGTGCCATGTTAGAGAAGAAACAGGCTTTTCATGTCCACGAAGAATACAAATGTCCCGCATCATACGTAGATCGAAAACCCTGGCCGTCTGGTCACGAGAAGATGTTGCGAGAAGGTTTTGATTCACACGTGAAAACCGCGTCGCGGTTACTGTGTTCTTGTGACTATGGAGTGTTGTCAAGCATCTTGCCGTGCGGGGATCCCAGAACTTGACTTGGTGGTCTTTCGAACCGGAGACGAGAAGTCCTTTCGTAGGGTGCCAATCGCATGATTTGACGTCCCAGTTGTGACCCGTAAGGACGGTGTCGGCGGTTCTTGAGGTGAAATCAAAGATCTTCAGAGTCGTATCGTCAGAAGCGGAGAGAAATTTCGTATCGCTAGGAGACCACGCAAGATCCCGAACCGCATCGTGGTGCGCATCATCAATGGTTTCGACATTGTTGAAATTAGGCCGCCAATATTTTATATCACCTTTTTGTCCGCCCGAAATTAACCAGTCATGGCTGTGGGACCATGCCAACGAAGTAACTCCAGCTTGCAGTTGGTCGTAATGTGCCTATCTCCTTGGTCAGAAGAGATCCAGGCAAATCGGAGACTGAAACAAAGAAGGGGAAAAGGGGAGGTAAAGCCATACATCCATCACAGTCTCAAAATTGAATGCTGTTCCATTCCATAGCATAAACTCTCCAGTGTGCCCACCCGTCAATAAACGCCTCCCTTCCGGGGTCCATCTTACGACTGTGATCGGCTTCTTTGACTTTCCAATGGATTGGTGTAGGTGCCGTACGGGGATGGTATCCACAGGGCAATGGATTCGTGCTAACGGAGGCAGCATCTGCAATGAGGGAAGTGAGTTAGCCGACGTCTTCAAGGTAGGGTGTAGCTGTTTACATCAACTACGTAGCTTGCACTTGGCCTTTCTGTCTCCATTCGGTGGCCACCCTTGTATGTTGGGCGCCGTGTGCGCATCCATTGTACGAGTGATGATCCATAATCAGTGACAAGCCCTGTTGAATTGCAGGCTATTAGCCTTCCACAGTGGTTGAACGATGGAGTAACAAAAGAACGGTAAAAGAAAAAGAGATGGGTATACTGGAGGGGAAACAAAATTCAAATCATGGAAATAAACGTACGTGGTCGCCGTGGTCCCACAATCCCACCCTCATAGGGTTTTTGAGGTCTTCCAAATGGCTGGGAGTCGGCCCCAGATTCGTCGTAAAATGCCATCACAAGCAAGCTATTCTCGGTTGTAAAGGAAAAGAAGCTTACGGAAGTTTGCGACCATTGACCGGGTGAAAGATAAAGCGGAGCGGAGCGAATGACAAACAACAACCCCTCAAATGAGTAACTGGGGTTTCAGCTAGAACGGTCTTTCCATAGCGTGCATGCGGCTGGTACGGAGTAGAGTGGATGGATTCTCGTCGTGAACGTGGTTGATGATTTGAATGGGAGCAAAAGCAACTTGACTTTGGGCCGAGCGCGCGGCGGTGATGATCATTGGCCGCGGGACACTAAGCGGCAGAGCAAGTACTGATTAGCACCAAACGGCTCTCTCAACCCCCGGTCGCCTCAAGAGGCCTTTGCTTTAAACCACCGTTGCAATGCGTCCTTGCCAGCCCCGCTGTGCTGCTCCTGGCTTGTCTAATTTCATTGTTTTCATGCTATAAATACCCTCAATTGCCCTGTCATGATCAACTCTTCTCTGGTCCGGTCGCTGGGATTGTTATCCTGTATTCTAAGCTATCCCCGCAATTGACCTCACATTCAACGCTGTCGCTTCCACGCGGCTTTACCAGCCCTTCCGTGGTTTTGGTTTTATTTTTCATTTTTCTGTTTTCGGTCATTGTGTGCTCATTGTGGATTACTGCCGAGTTTCTCCGAGATTATATGAAGATGGACGTGACAGAGAAGGCATCTGCGTCAAGCAGCGATGTAAATATCCGCGGCGCGGCTTTGTCCTCATCTTCTGAAGTCATGAACGGTTCTTCTCGTACCAGAACGTCACTTCCTACGGGTGAGGCCAGCGGAGTGCCTAAAAGCAAAAGGAGGAGCAAGTATCGGCATGTGGCAGCCTACCACTCGAAGTTGCAACACTCAAGCCTAAGCCGAGAGTCCAATGTTCCGACTAGTTTCCTCGGGTTCCGAAATTTGATGGTGATCGTCCTGGGTACGATGTTTTTCTCTAGAGTAACTTGGTGACCTATGAAGCTGATATTCTCCCCCTGGATTAGTGGCGATGAATCTCCGATTGATTATTGAGAATTCTATGAAAGTAAGTGTTATCGTAGAACTAAGTCTTTGGGGTAAACAGAGCTGAACGTTTCATCGCATAGTATGGGGTTCTCATTTGCATTAGATGCCATGACTACCGGAAACAAGATGTAGTTCTTGGCTCAATGCTCTTTATCATTGTCCCTTGTCAGCTGTTTATTGCATACATTCTTGAGTTGGCTGTAGCAAGGCGGGTCAAAGAAACCGTTGGCCGAAAGAAGAAGAAAGACAAATCAGCAGAGGAAGGCGAGCGTGAACAACGTGAATTCCGGACGATTTGGCGGTTCGCTTTATCTTTTCATATCCTCAATACCTTGCTGAACCTCGCGGTGACGAGCTATGTCGTTTATTATTACATCCATCACCCAGGGATCGGGACGCTCTGCGAAGTTCATGCGATTATTGTGGCGCTCAAAAATTGGTCCTATGCATTCACCAATCGTGATCTCCGCGAAGCGATGCTTAATCCATCCGCGGAGTCCGCCCTTCCTGAGATCTACTCCTCATGCCCATATCCACGGAATATTACACTTGGGAATTTGGTGTATTTTTGGTTGGCACCTACGCTGGTTTATCAGCCAGTTTATCCCAGGTCACCCGAAATCCGTTGGTCATTTGTGGGCAAGCGTATGTTCGAATTTATAAGTTTGTCTATATTCATCTGGCTTCTCTCTGCCCAGTACGCTGCTCCTGTCCTGCGAAACTCTATTGACAAAATCGCTGTCATGGACATTGCTTCCATTTTTGAGCGAGTGATGAAGCTATCTACCATCTCCCTCATCATTTGGCTTGCTGGGTTTTTTGCTCTTTTCCAGTCATTCTTGAATGCCCTCGCTGAAGTGCTACGGTTTGGAGACCGAGAGTTCTATCTCGACTGGTGGAACAGCTCCAGTCTTGGTATGTACTGGCGATCTTGGAACAGGCCCGTCTATCTCTTCATGAAGAGGCATGTGTACTCGCCTCTGATTGGACGGGGATATAGTCCTTTGACGGCAAGCACTGTTGTCTTTCTAGTTTCGGCCCTTCTGCACGAACTGCTTGTGGGAATCCCTACGCATAATATGATAGGTACCGAGAATCGCGCATGCCCTGTGAATGTTTGTTTCAAGCTAACCGATAACAAGGTGTCGCTCTCGTAGGAATGTTGTTCCAGCTGCCACTGATCGCCATCACCGCCCCATTAGAAAAGATGAAAGATCCTTCAGGGAAGGTAATTGGGAACTCAATATTTTGGGTTAGCTTTTGCGTGGTTGGACAACCTTTGGGGGCCCTGCTGTATTTCTTCGCTTGGCAGGCGAAGTATGGCAGCGTTAGCAAAATGACCCAGGGATGATATTTTCTTGTAATACATATAACAACGATAGATGTGAGGTGTTCAATCGACCACCGTTTCTCAAATCAGGCACAGTAGTTATCATCCTGGTCAAGTTGTTCTCAGAGTCCTTCAGTAGAGTGTGACGGGAAAGTACACGTATCTCCTATGGATGCCTTCTCTTGAAGTATGCTATGATTGGCTGTCAGCCTGCACCTGAGAGGCACTAAGGTTCAGTATTATACATCGCTTCGTGTTGTAGAGCCTACAAGAACGGACGGCCCCAAATAATTAGTGAGCATAACGGATGTCGGTTCGTCGGGACTCCGAATGGAAATCTACTTTTCCGAGTTCCTGACGTCAGGAAATCGGCACTATTTATGGTTCTAGATCCCACTGCACCCCGAAAAACAACCAAAAGATCAATCGACCGTCTACCCTTGATTAATTTTTAATTTACTCTTCATAATGGTCGCGATAACCGTCCCCGACAACTACGGGTAAGTTTATCCCCATTCCAGATGGCACCAAGACCATCTTTGACTGACTGTGAGCTTCTAGTGCCGTTATTGGCGTCGCGCTTGGAGCTATCCCTGTGCTCAGCTTTCTCCATGGAATGGTCGTGTCGGGGTTTCGCAAGGAAGCCAAAGTTCCCTACCCTCACAGCTATGCGACTGTCGAACAGTGCAAGTCGAATGTAAGACCTCCATTCTCCCCTCACTGTCTCACTTACCACGACTTTCAGAATATATTGTCGCACAGACATAGGCGACCTCGATAAGAGCTAACAGAATATGCCCCGACAGGCTAAAGCGGAACAATTCAACTGCGCCCAGCGCGCGCACGCCAACTTCCTCGAAAATGCTCCCCAGACCATGCTCTTTACTCTTGTTGCAGGTTTGAAATACCCACAGCTGGCTACCGCTCTTGGCGCCGGCTGGCTCGTGGCTCGCTCGCTTTTCTTGTACGGCTACGTGTACTCGGGCAAGCCGCAGGGTAAGGGAAGGTACCTTGGAGGATTTTTCTGGCTTGTGCAGGGTGCTCTATGGGGGCTGAGTGTGTTTGGCGTTGGGAGGGATCTAATTTCTTTCTAAACACCAACTATTTGTAAGTGACTGTATCGTTGCGGTTTTGGGCAGTATTGTCTCGTTGTAAAATAATTCTCTGAATTTGCCATTGAGATCGTGAGAAACACTAGCAAAGAATTTCAAAATCTCAGGAAGACAGGGCTCACTATAATATTGATGATTTGTCGAAGTTATCTCCATCGTCACTCTAAAAAATGATTATTACCACACATAGTCTACTTTTTTATAGATTCCTACACTGATAGATTATTTAGATCGTGTCACATCTCTAAACCTAGCGATATATTCAAGATATCCGGGTTTTCATCGAAGTGTCCTAGTCTTTCTATGCCCCTGTAATCTGAGCCACCGCGGACTTAAATGTCTTAGGGCTTGATAACGGAGACGTGAGGTAGCTCTCGAGGCAATAAGCAGCAAGTTTGATCGCCGAGTCTCCTCTTGGAACACTCTAGGGATAAGTGCGATAGTGCTACCTATAGGCAGTCTATATGCACAAAAGACTAAGGACATCAGGGCTCGGCATGTCTAGTACAAGGCAATGATAAGCTATATTCAGTTAGCGCTGCAGTTCCGATCTAAACATTTATTGACAGGAAGTGGCAGGGGACTCATCCAATCCGGTAAAGGACCAGGGTACCCTAGTCGGTTTCTTTATATATAAACGCCACCGCAGCTACTAAAGCAATCCACTTTCTGAGCTACTGGATTCCTTTCTTTAAAAGCTCTTGCGTCCTGCAGTAACACATGTGAAATTATCGAGGTACCGAGATGTTGATGATTCACATGTTAACTTCATTTTTCGTTAGCTGGATCTTCATATTACCTACTAGTACTGCTCCACTTTACCCAAAGTGATCATGCGATTCGGACTGAAACGGCTATCAGAAGAGTCGATTTTATAGAAAGGCAACCGGATTTCACAGGTCCGTTACTATCTTCTGTACCCTAGAAAAATCATTAACATTCGTTGTAGACGTATATAGCCTCCTTGAATGTAGCATCCATTGCTTCAGCGACGTTCATCACGAGAACTATGTTCTCCTGAGGCAGAGGGGAGAGGAGATTTCCAAAGGATTGACTCCAGAAGCAAACACCTTGACAGGAGCAAGATGCTCAAACTCCTGCGAGTTAGAGAACGTTCTTAAGGCAGTGCTAGAGCTTCGTAAGGATTCAGAAAAGTTGCAATGGTATTATCGAGTCAACAAAGAAGCAGTCCAGAGAGTGTTTGCCAAATTCGCGAATTTTAGCACCTCGACCGGGGAGATTGATGGAATTGATGGAGGTCCTAAAGCGAAGTGGGTCAAGTTGGAGGCTGATCGAGATGAATCATGGTTGAAGTATACTGGAAGTCTAAACGAACTGATGGGCAGCATCATCCAAATCCGTTCTGATATGAAGTTTTATTCAAACACCAAATTTTGTCTGAAAAATGTCTCCAGTCACCCTTCCCTTTCCGGTGGCCCTATCAGAGCCTTGAATCGCGCTGTTATAGATGATGATGCTCCAGAATTGTCTAAGCTGTTGGAAGCGATGTACTCAAATAATACCACAACGATGCCACGCTTCCAGGAAATTGCCCGTGATTTAGCCGGTCGCTCAGTTGCCTGTCTTTCTAAGCAGGCTGCTGAGTATCTGCTTTCGCAAGTATTCGCTCAATATCACATCGCACTGGACAACGAGATATTGAATCAAATGATCATGATTTCCGGTCGGCAAGGGATCTTTGAAGAGCCTACTACAGTGAGAATGAGCTCTCAATGCACCCCTAAAGCGTCTTGTGCTGAGCCACAGAGAAACTGGTTCTCTTTTGCCGTTAAGCAACTTGGGCTCCGCGGAAAGAACATCATGGAGAGACAGCCATTTATGCTGCGGCTCGCAGTGGAAATGAAGAATATGTGGACATACTTCTTGAGCATGGAAGATATCCAGATCTTAATGTCCCAGAGACTGTGCATGGCTGGACTCCTTTATTCATTGCATGCGTGAAGGGCCACCACGCTGTGGCAAAACTTCTCTTGAAAGCGGGATCAAAACAGGGCATTCATGATTATTGGGGGTGGACTGCTAAAGAACATGCCGCAGTAAGAGGCCATCTGACTTTGGCTGGGATGCTCACTTCGTTGGGCACTGAGGATCCCTTCGGTGGGCCTGCTAGCACACCTATGCAGCCAACTTTTCAAACCACTATGTCGTTTAAGACTGATCGTCACTGCCTAATCATCAATCTGGGCGTCCTGCAAACCGGAAAACAGGTAAAGGCTGTTGAACTGAGAGGTCGCCCTCTGAAGGAGCTAATCTCTATGAACACCGGCTTCTTGATGGAAATTTCAATCTCAGAGAGGGAAAGTCTGAGCCAGCTTATAGAGCTACCTTTATTGACTGATATGACCAACGAACCTTTCGTTTTCCATTTTACAGACCCAGACAGAGCCTGGATTTTTTTTAAAGTTCCTCCACGCTAGCTCTAACTTGACAAAGGAACATAACCTTCTGGGGGGTGGTACGGCTCTGATAGGAAGCCCCGGCGATTATTTCGGAAGAAACCGTGAAAGCCTCATTAGAGAACGTACAGTTCCGATCCTTGAGAAGGATACACTTGATGTTCTGGGAAAGGTCACTTTCACTTTCGTTATCTCTAGACCAATATCCCAACGTGTCAGTCCATTGGTTAAGTCTCTTGTTACTGAAGAAGGGGTGCAGCTAGTTGGTCATAGAGGTATGTGTTATATTATTACTTCCTCCTCCTCTATAATAGAACAGTAACGTGTAATCAGATCTCGGGCAAAACACAGTCAGCCGCGATTATCTCCAGATAGGAGAAAATACCATAGAGGTACACAGCACTTTTAAAATCATTGAAATTAGATCCTTGCCTACCTAGCATCAGATCTAGTCATTTCTTTTGGCTTCAAAGCAAGGCGCCTCAATTGTTGAGATAAGAATAATTTACTAATATATGAAGCGAACGCGACTGACACCTATGACAGTTTGGTATAACAAGATTTCACAGATCGCACCTTGCATGTGCACTAAAATTTAGTCAGATGTCCAGTTAACAAGAGACCTCGTGCCCATCATATACCTTGACTTATCTCTGAGCGAATCAGGAACCGATATCCCTATTCATGACTTAACTCTTGATCAGGTCAGTATCTTCGGGTTCAATTTGAGCTGATTCTCACCCGTCAAAGTTCATGCACGCAAGCAATATTCAGTCGCCACGAGGGGATTCAGTATCTGTACTTGGAAAAGCGAATGCACAGCCTATATCCACCCAGATTATTCCAGCTAAGCCACGATCTCGATCATTAAGCAAAGTCCACGAGAGGGGAGCTAGAGAAATTCGTGAGAGAATGAAGTATACAGTTGACTTTGTCAGCAAGGCATTCAAGCCTAATACTAGAGGTGACTTTATCCAAGATTCCTTCACAACACTAGAAGAGCTGCCTGAATCAATCAACTTCAATATCGAGATAAGTATGCTATCTGCTGTCACTGATGCTTCTTGATTGGTAAGAGACAAGGCTAATAACGTCCCAATGAAGAGTACCCCAGGCTTCATGAAGCGATAAATGCAGGTGTAAGACTCGTAGCTATTGAAATCAACACCTTCATCGACAAAGCACTTGAGAAACTCTTTTCTTGCGGCAACAAGAAGCGGACTATTATCCTATCCTCATTTACCCCCGAGATCTGCATATTATTGGCCATCAAGCAACATATGTATCCTGTGATGTTCATCACTAATGCCGGCAAACCTCCAGTTACGGATCGAGAAATGAGGGCCGCCAGTATACAGTCCGCTGTCCGATTTGCCAAGAAATGGAATTTGTTTGGTCTTGTCCTTGCGCCTGAGGCGCTGGTAATGTGACCTAGACTTGTTAGATATGTACAGCGTTCAGGATTGGTCTGTGAATCCAATGGATCTCAAAACAATATACCAGAAAATGCGAAGGTAAGTGTATCTTACTACCTACACTAAATCTTAGTGTTTTCAAATTGCGATATAGAAGTTGTTTAGTAGCTAATAGAACCGTTCCAGGCCCAAGCCGCCGCTGGTATTGACCTTATTATGACCGATAGAGTTGGGCTGATTGCGATGTCCTTGAGAGGATATCATCATATCAAAAGCAACCATAAAGGCTAGGCATGATCCCCGCGCGAACGGTACCCTAAGGCTAAGCCCTAATCTTATCTGCATGTGACTGCACTGCTGTGTTTGGTCCAGATGAGGCATGTGGCTCACCCCACAGGCTGAGGAACGTGTGGCTAGTGCAGACTCCCCTCCATAGATTCATTTTAATTTTTCGCGGCGATTATCGTACAGTTTGTATTTACCATTCATTCCACGAGTTGGAGTTATTAAATTGACATCCTGACTATTTTTGTCTGATTACTGAAAACTTGGAGTACTAGTCTACTGAATAAGCCGGTTTCAACCACTGAGTGCTCATTTATACAATAGTTGCAGAACCCCGCGCTACCCCTCCATCGCCAACATGTCCTCCAAGTCGCAATTGACCTATAGCGCACGCGCTAGCAAGCACCCCAATGCCCTTGTAAAGAAGCTCTTCGAGGTTGCCGAGGCCAAGAAAACCAACGTCACCGTTTCCGCTGACGTGACAACCACCAAAGAGCTGCTGGATTTGGCTGACCGTATGCGCACCGGTGATGCCACTTACATATGATCTAGTAATAGTTAATGGTGGAATGTATAACAGGACTCGGCCCGTACATTGCCGTGATTAAGACTCACATCGACATCCTTTCCGATTTCAGCGAAGAAACCATCACCGGTCTCAAGGCCCTTGCAGAAAAGCACAATTTCCTCATCTTCGAAGATCGCAAGTTCATCGATATCGGAAACACAGTCCAGAAGCAGTACCATGGTGGCACTCTGCGCATCTCCGAGTGGGCCCACATCATCAACTGTAGTATTCTGCCTGGTGAGGGTATCGTCGAGGCTCTGGCCCAGACTGCTTCGGCCGAGGACTTCCCTTACGGCTCCGAGAGGGGACTTTTGATCCTTGCGGAGATGACATCCAAGGGATCTTTGGCTACCGGTCAATATACTACTTCTTCTGTTGACTATGCTCGGAAGTATAAGGAGTTCGTGATGGGATTTGTCTCGACGCGTCACCTGGGGGAGGTTCAGTCCGAAGTTAGCTCGCCTTCGGAGGATGAGGACTTCGTCGTCTTCACGACAGGTGTCAACCTCTCGTCGAAGGGAGACAAGTTGGGACAGCAGTACCAAACTCCTGAGTCAGCTGTTGGACGCGGTGCCGACTTTATTATTGCTGGCCGCGGAATCTATGCTGCTCCCGATCCCGTGGAGGCGGCTCGGCGGTACCAGAAGGAGGGATGGGATGCATACATGAAGCGTGTTGGCGCGCAATAAGTAGGGTGTAGCTGATACGTGCTTCTTAATGGCAACATGTCGCAAGTATGATGCGAATGATAAATTTAGCACTCAAAATGACCACTATGTATCTATGATCGGCCGGTGCTAAGAGATACCCTCTCCATATGAATAAGACGCCTACCTCAGTATATGGGTGAACTCAAAGTTAGAGTCAAGTGGACAATGTCTGAACCAACCCTTACGATATAGGTTGTAGTCGGCTTAGATCAGGGCTAAGTAGCTGATCCACCCTGACCGACTCGTTTGTAGTCACTCACAATTCCAACCTAGGTGGGTTCAAAGACAGCTGTCGTATATCTGGCACTTAACTTTCTCGCCTCATATTTTAATTTCGCGAGAGTCTCAAAAAAAAAAAAAAAGTTACAGGAAGGGGGCATTGACTAATTGTGGGTACATCCACCGAAATTACTTTACCCTAGCAGGGTCAATACACTCAGGGGTGGACTGACGTAACCTGAAAGTTAGCAGTTTGCGCGGTCTACAGATAACTGTAGCTAAGACTGGATTTTCCCTGAAGGTGCTGCTGGAGATTGATCTATTTTCTTAGAGGGGGGTATCACTAATGTACAGTCGGCCACTATCGTACAAACAAACACAATTATATACAAGATTTCCCATCACCCCCTAGTCTAACATGGCACGGTGTTTCATCGAGTCAGAGCCTAACCACCACTTGGTGCTCTCGTAGAGACCAAAGTATAATCCTGATCCGACGGCCGCCATGAACGTGTTGATAGCACACCCTCGGAATAGCCCCCTCGGGCCATCCGTTCGTACGATCTCCCGTACGATATTGATCATCCTTTTCTTCTGCGGTACGGTTGTGTCTGCAGCATCAAGCATGATTCGTGTCCGGACCATATCCATAGGTGCTGTCAGGACACTGGCTATACCGCCAGACACTGCAGCACTTATCGCGGCTGTCGCAGCGGTCTCTCCCAATGTCAAGTGGGCCTGTTTCTTGCCATAACCTCTTGGTCTTTCCAACACCTCCTCTTGAGTTCCAAATTTATACTCAGAAATGCGACACCGAAAAGTCTCGTACAGAGGCATCTGAATTGCCGACACTGGCAAGCTATGCGCCACAAGAGCAGGGTATCCGCTCCAAAGCTGTTTAGGGTTGATAAACTTCTTGAAAGCTAATCGTGTTGCTTTTTGGGCTACACCGCCCATTTTCCCCCCAGCCACGTGTGCTGATGCGTCCGATTGGTGTGATTGGATCATCTGCGCGTTGTGTTTCAATGCATCAGCCGGAGCATAGACTCCACAAGCTGCAAGATCCGCAACGGAGGCCGCACAAAAATCGGAAAAGATCTGAGCTGAGCTAGACTTTTGCGTTCCAAGCTTTTGGTGTATGACTTGGAGCCCTGACTGTGTATACTCATACGTGATGAAAAATGCACCCGCTTTGATTCGTTACTCTTGGATCTTTGAATATAGTTTGGGTAGCACCGACCTGTGGGAAACGAGGCAGCGGTGACGCTTGCGATGCCTTGGTAAAGGCCGCGGAATATCCCCGGATGTCTCCATATGCTTGTTCCTGTGTTGGTTCTCAGGAACTGTGAGTATTCACGAGACTGGATGCGGGTTTTGATCGTATCCAAGGGATGGATGAATAGATCTAGTGAGAGAGATGCGGCTGTGCTTGCCTAGTTCCCCAAAGTCAATATGTGCTGTCTATCCAAGGGGGTAGGAATATACCAGTAATATACTGAGTGGCTCGGCGGACATATTGGCGGTCGACAAGACACGGGAGGACGAGGATGTTCAATTGTGGACGTTGCAACTGTCTTGGCAGACATCACCTCATGAGGCTTTGAGTTTTCTTTCTATACTTTGAGACAGGCCATAGTCAATTGCTATATTAGAATACAGTGATGTAGGTAGATATTAGAGTTGATACCAGGCAGCGAAGCTTTTTCACTATTGGATGAGTTTATTCCGGGCTCCGCGGGAACCGATTCGAGGACTGATATTGCTGGAAATTTCCCATTGAGATATTTTTTTCTCTTGCTCTTTACCGATAGATTAAAACAACTTTAATTTTTATAGTAGAGGTATATACACATCAGGTGTAAAAAGTATATGCATATAGTTTCTTGGTTTGTTCGCGATGTTGACGCGTACTCGAAAATCATTGATAATTTATTACTACTGGTCTGTTATCGATAAGCTCCTTAACGGGGAAAGGTGGTAGCAAAGGCCCACTGCAATCGCTTTAGTGAGTGGATTAAATGTCAAGTTGATAAGGAGATATGGAGATATGGAGATTCTAGTCTAACTGATAAGCTTAAATCGTTGGTTGACCTGGAGGAAGATATTCAAGCTAGACTTCGCGAGGGAACAGAAGAAAAATATACGGAGGAGGATCTCAATATTATATCCGAGAATCTCCCGATGTTTGTCGGCTTTATATTTGAATGCCGACGTGGATTAATTAAAAAAAAAAAAAAAAAAGTACGAGGTGGTATTTACTCTTACTCTACCCTATCTCTGGAAGTGCTAAAGTTACTTCTCTCCTCCTCTTGGCAGATGCAGATCGACAAACCAGTGAGACTACTGGACTCTGAAGAGGGTAAGCTCCCTTGGCAGCGGAAATGTCCGCCAGATAAGTGAGGGGGACACTACTACTACTCTTTGTGGTTGTCTTATCATGCATCCCATTATGTATACAACTACTAGTTTAACTTCTCCTCGTGATAGAGATACTCGGCTGTCTTATCCAATGGATCAATCGTCTCATCGCCTATTCTCTCCACCCGATTGCTTTTTGTTATTCTTCTCCTCTTTCCCCCTCATTTCTTAAGCTCCAGCGTACGGAACTCACGCGGAACCCAAGCCGCTGTGCTTGCATGGGATTGGCCATGAACGATAAGCTTGCCGTCATAGTGGACGCACTACGACTAGTAGTTGGCGTACCCCAGGTAATCGGCGGCTTATCTGTGGATGGCGGTTGTGCCGATGAAGTCTAATCTATGCCAGCTCAGATAGCAATCGTTCCATCCCCTAGTGCCATGACCCCTGCGGATGAGGAGGCGTGCGCACATATGTAAAGGCATTCTCACCGTCCCTTACGATCTCTTTTGGTGTCTCGTACTCTCTCTCTCATCCCTTCCCACACCAAAATATTAGAAAAAAAAATGGCGGATGAGAAGACTTCCTCACCTGCTACCGTCGATATGGAGAAAGACGTCAAGGGGCACGTCGATCCAGAGCTGAAAGAACATGCCCAGGATGCAGACGAGGCATTGAAAGCCTTTCAGGAACTCCATGGCGAAGCGATCGAGCTCGATGCTGCCACAAATAAGCGACTTCTAAGAATCATTGACTGGCATATGATGCCGATTATGTGTTTTGTATATGGAATGAACTATTTGGACAGTATGTTGTTCTTCGCCTCTAACCTCGGCATTCATAACCTTTAATCCTGAGCAGAAACGACTCTATCCTATGCTAGCGTCATGGGACTCAAACCGGACCTGAACTTGCAAGGCGACGAATATCAATGGCTAGGCAGTTTATTTTATTTCGGTCCGTCAAACAATGACCCCAAGTATGAAAATACACTGTTGGTTAAACTGACACGGCTTGAAATGTAGGGTATCTGGCATGGGAATATCCCACCAACCGATTGCTCCAGCGCCTCCCCTTGGGTAAATACTCCGCGGCTTGCATCATTATTTGGGGAGCCATTCTTTGTTGTTTCGCCGCTGTCAGTAACTATTCTGGAGCCATCGCTATTCGGTCAGACCACACCCTGCCACAATCACTAACAACGGCTGACAATTTCTCGTTAGTTTCTTCCTTGGTGTCTTCGAAGCCTCTGTTACACCAGGCTTTGCTCTGTTGACCTCGCAGGTGCGTTTCAAGTCCTCCGTACAACAACGGTTTCTGACATCTCTCGCATAGTGGTACACCAAGAGTGAACAAGGCAGCCGTGTCAACATCTGGTTTAGCTTCAATGGCTGGGGTCAGATCCTAGGCGGCTTTGTGGCGTACGGCATCGCAGTCGGCACAGAAAGGCACGGCTCAGCCATCGCGCCGTGGAAGATTGTCTTCCTTTGCACGGGTCTATTAACCGTTGTGCTTGGCATTATATTCCTCTGGATAGTCCCAGATAACCAACTGAACGCCCGCTGGCTTAAGCAAGAAGATCGTGTTCTCGCCGTCGCTCGCGTTCGAGAAAACCAACAGGGCATCGGAAACAAGCACTTCAAGCTCTACCAGGTCAAGGAAGCACTCCTAGACCCCATGACTTGGGCGTTCTTCTTCTTTGCGCTTATCGCCAATATTCCAAACGGTGGTATCACAAACTTCTTCAACCAGCTGGTGAGTGCCCCCTTTCGTACTGAACTGAGACTCAATGACTAATTAAATTACCATCAGATTACTAGCTTTGGCTACACTGCCCAACAGAGTCTCCTGTATGGTACTCCCGGCGGCGCGGTTGAGGTTGTCGCTCTAGTTCTCAACGGTTACGCCGGCCAATACACGGGCCAGCGACTCCTTTGCAGCACCGGCGGCCTAATTACTGCCATAGTGGGCATGATCCTCATCGTTGCTCTCCCCCTGGAAAACAATGTCGGACGTCTGATCGGTTACTACATGACCCAAGCAAGTCCGACTCCATTCGTGGCCTTGCTCTCGATGGTCTCCTCCAACGTCGCCGGTTATACCAAGAAGACCACCGTTGCTGCACTATTTTTGATCGGCTACTGTGCAGGAAATATCATCGGTATGTCCGCATCGTTTTGACCTAGATCCGATCGGAAATTAACAGCGTCATCTGTATAGGTCCTCAAATCTTCCGCCCCGAAGATGAGCCTCGCTATGTTCCCGCCGAGATCACGATCATTGTCTGCTGGGGCGTCTGTTTGTTTCTCTTGGCCTTCATCTGGTGGTGGTATAGCAAACAGAATGCGAAGAAGATCCAGATCACGGAGAGCTCAGGCTACGTACGACTGGAGAATCAAGAGTAAGTGTCGTCCCTATCTTGTCTTTATCATGAAAGTATAGGTCACTAATGGGGGTCTAGATGGTTGGATCTCACTGACCGGGAGAACCATGAGTTTCATTATTCGTTGTAGATTCTTTTATTCATGTACTTGACTTTGTTACGCAGAATATGATGACACTTATCAACGACCATTGTACACCTTTCACCCAATATTGATATGTCTATCCAAAACGGGACATGTAAAGTGTAAGGAAGTGTTTCTTGAACACGGTACGCTTGATACTGTGACCTGCTATTGTGCCGAGCCGGATGTACTGTAGTCAGAGCGGTAAAATAGCAGTGGGAGATCAATAAAGGCAAGTTCAATGCTAAGACTTGGCTAGTAGAGGAACGTGTCAATGATACTTGGTTTTCTAAGTAATAAGTCAGCTTCTATATCTTCTGCTGAGTTCATAAAGAAGCTCTCGCTTAGTGGCATCGCGGGGCAAGTCAGATCGCACAGCTAGAGTTCCATAACCGGTTATTTTGCCAGATATTTAACGGATTACTTATATCCGCTTCCTTTGTATATATGGCCTTTGAATATGGCAGGATTACCTAAAGAACCCGGTGTGCTCCTCTCTCAGCGGTGAAATATGGGTATGTCACCGGCCTACAGTACCACTTGAATAGAACTTAAACATAGCAAGGAATATGGTCAAACAGTAATATGTATCCAATCATTACTTTTTCATATATACACTTAACATATTTGTTCATCCCTCTCCATTTTCATATGACCGTGTAGGTTGCAAATACAGCAGTCGCCGGGTTTGCCCTCTCCATTGTCCTCTCAGCCCATCGTCTCCTTCACTCGAAACAATCCTATTCCCATCCTCCGCGAGCAGATCCTAGTGCATTCCCCTTGATCCCCACGGTGGATCTGGAACCTTCGGATCTTCATATGTAGGGAATTCAAGGCATTGGAAGAGATACGTAGATGGCGGTGGTTATCCCCAAGAAAGCGTGAAGTGGTAAGAGAAAAAGGCGATGTCGCTCTGCCTGTCTTTGTCAAATAAACATTAGTCAGGTTGAGTCTCAAGACAAAGTATCGAAGAGGCTTACTTACCGGTTGATAAAGGTGAGATGCCACCAACCTCCGCTGTCCGCATATCTTGTCAGCCTTTGTTTCTGAAAGGGAAGGATCCTACATCAAACTGTTTTCAAGCCGATTTCATCACCAAGTCAGTATACCAGTCAAACAAGATCAGAGAAAGGCATCACTCACTCGAATCTAAGGATATAAAGACTTGTTATCAAGCAGCTCACAACTGCCTGATAACCCAGGCCCATCCCAACCACCCAACCAAGGGCCCGTATATGAATGCATATCCGGTTTGGAATACCCTGTTGATTTGCTTTGTGCCAGTATGTGTTTTTTGCAAGAAGAATTTTTTTTGTTCTTTCTTCTGTGAGCTTTTTTTTTTTTTTTTTTTTGATACTGGACATGAAAACCATCTCGTGCTATGTTGT